GAGAGGCTCTCGTTTCTCACAGGCTGTTTTCTCTCGTCTTCTATTCAGAGATTAGCCTCACATCACAGCTTCTTGAACCGCTGGCCACTTACTTGTCAGAAACTATTTAGAGTCTAACCTTTTCACGATTACATCTCTATTAGGAGATGTTGATTTTTGTGGCAATAGTTCTGTCCAGTTTTGTGTGATCCGGTTTAATTAAACTGAGGGTTGAGACTCAAAGACTTGCTGCTTTTGGACATCACTGTGACAAGGCGGAATATTATCTAATAAGTCAGAGTCCCTTGTCGAAAATCTAAACTTCTCATTTGGCTCCTGTGCTTTATAACTTAATGATGCATGCATCATTTTATTGCTGATCACTTTGCTGCTTTATTGCATAAAACAAAAAAGAAGCCTATTTTTAGAGCGCATAGCACAGTCACTTATTTGCCTTCTAATCACTGTTCACACGAAAAATACCTGGGAGATATGATGTCAAACCAATCAGAAGTTTTAATCACAGTTAGAAAATGCCTCAAAATGCAGCCTGCTTAATTTGGGTCAGCACATCGACAAGTTTTAGTGAGCATTAGTTAAAAGATGAACCTTCTAATTAGGAAAGAGTTGCCACTCCATCTGTGACTTTGTCCACGCTAACCAGAATTAAATGAGCATGTGATCATTCATCCCTTTTATACACACTTTTGTGGGGCCGTTGCTCACATATAAACAGCTTTGTTCTATCGATCCAGCCTTACTAGAACAAAAGCTTGGAGAAGATCAAAAGTCGTTTGACCCGTCTTTGTTGCTAGGCTTTGTTAAACGGCAGGGGATTTTATTGACTACACTGCAGCAGCACAGCCACATACTGTAGCAAGCCAGGTGTCCTGGCATTGACAGCTCTACTGTAGGACAAGTCTCCACTGCCCAAGTGACCCAATGAAGTGCTGCAATGTCAACATGGGTGATAGTATGTGAGTCTGTCTCCGTCTGTGAGTGTATGTTTTTGCTGTTACGAGTGTGCATACACATACCTGTGAATGTGCGCACACGTATCCCTGCAACAAGAAATCAATAAACCCCGGGGTTAATATTAAGGAGGAACTGGCTCACCAGCTCTGCTAACAAACATCAGACTGTTAGCATATCCTTAGTCCACCCTCCTCCCCATGGAAATCCACTTGATTGATTATCAACATCACACTGCAGTTCCAACATAGACTCACTAGCTTATCACCAGCTATATGAAGTCCCTTCTATTGCTCTCTCAATACAGGCAATTTAGGAATTAACCCTTAAAATATGAATAAGCCAAGGACAGAGGGACAAAGACGGTGCAGGGATTAGACTGAAATCCAATTTGGCAGCAGTTGTGTTTCAGTTTGGAGGACCCAGTTTTAAACCCCTGTGGTGGCTCATTACTGTGGTGTTTTTGGACTAGACTTGGCAGAGATCACTTGTCAGTCAAACAGAGGAGGTGGTATTGTGATTTATTTTTCTTTGACTTTACTGTTTCAAAGTGTCGATGTCTTTAGGTGTAACTCCTGCCAAGCCAAGATTATTCTTTTCTTTTCCAAGGACAGTCAGACCAGACAGCAGCTGACAAGAACAGGAGAGCTTTTTATAAATTGGATATAGATTGAATCTGCTTTGTTGTATCTGTCACTTACAACATAGCAGCTTGTGCATTATAAGGTAAAGTATTGGGGAATATAGCCTACTGTATGTCACTATATGAACTTAGACACTATACAATAGTGTGCTCAGCATAGAGTAGAGTAGAGTAGGTACTTTATTGATCCCACAGTGAGGAAATTTCTGTGTTACAGCAGCATTAGAGAACAACCAACATAACACCATAAGAACAGACACATAAGAACAGAACTTCATAAAAACATGGAAAAGAACACAACGAGGACACATCTGCTGTAACTTGCTGCCACTCCGTGCGGCGCATGCGTATGTAAGTATGTAGTAACAAGGAACACTAGCTAGATTTTATTACAATCCACAATGCTGGCTCTCAAATGAAAGAGGATTTACAGTGACATAAATTTCCATTCTGGCTTGTAGGAGGCAGGGAAAACTCTAGAACATACTGGAGCACACACAGCTTTGTCATCAGAATCCCTTAAAATTGGCTAACTTGTTAGCAAATAACTGCCCATTTACACAACCAGAGGAAATGGAGCAACAATAGCAATGTATTTGGAGTTGGGTTTCTAGCCACCTGACCAGTATTCACTCTTTGACCTCTATTGTAGTCTCTACCATTTCCTGAGAAAAATATCTAGTGCTTTAGCCAATCCTGACTGTTGTTTGTTGCTGAGGAGCTAGTATATAGTGGGGTAACTGCCTGCTGAGTCATAAAGCCAAAACAACAAGCTAAAAGAGGCTTTAAAATTCTGTAAAGTCCCATGTTCTTCATGGGTTTGTCACATTGAGTAGCCTCTTTTACATTACATACTGCATATCATTTAAAGGAATATTTCACATGTGGCTTAGAGATTCATTAACCTATATGTTTTTTATATAAAGTATAAGTTTGACATTTTTAGTTCATGTTTGTTTCCTTGCTATCTTGGTACCACCCTCATCTTTTTTCTCTTAAGTTTTTGTACAGATTAGACAACTGAGCTACAGTAGAACATGTTGAGTAGTGAGCTTCTGGCGAGGTGCTGATTGGCTGATATATCTTTACCTTTTTAAAGTAAGAATAGCTGTTTCCCTCTTCTTCCACTCATGCTAATCTAAGCTAACAATGTACTGGCTGCAGCGCGATATTTAACATACAGACCCACAAGTAATGTGGAGTCTACTTCCTCCTTGGCAAGAACAACAATAAATTTATTTCTTAAAATGTCAAACCAAGTAACAGCCACTTAGCAACGACCTTGATCGTTAATTTCTTTAATGTTACTATAAGGAAATGCTAATCAGTAAAGCTGTAAGAAAGGTGTGAATGAGCTTCTTTAGCAATCCCAGTTGGTGAGTTAGCAAAAACATTTCTATAGCAGCTGCATTTGCCATATTCAATTTATCACTGTAGCTAAAAGCCAGTAAATATCCATTTTCCCCCAAAAATGTGACAAGGCATTAGTAGATTGAACAGTATTAACATGTCATGACTGTGGGTGTGTGGGGGTGAGCTGTAGGAAACCTGATTGAATACAATGACAGCGTATATGAGAGAAGACTGACACAACATGTAATTAGAGTTAACTTTTCTTAAGCCAGTTAGGTGAAATTTGCTTCACAAGTGGTATAAGGCCAGGGCTTGTAGCTGAAAGAGAATGTAAGGGGATTTTTTTAATACATCTGTCAGTCTCTTTAATTATTATCTTTAAACATTTTAACCTCTTTTCATCATCTTAAAACCATGTTTACAGCTTAACGTTAAGTTTTTACCAATCTAACAAAGACAGTGCACAAAAACTAAAAGAATACAGTCACAAACATTTGGAAGTGAATATATCCTGTTTCTTTTTGTAGGTGTGTTACAGAAACAGTGTAACTTAACAAGATGCTGATATGAAAATTGAATTATTTGGAAGCAGAACAAAACAAATGAAGTTATGTTCATACAGAACATGTTGACATAAGCATGTGTTTGTGCCACTGTTAATATTCATTTTTCTAATACTATTTTGCTAAATTGAAGAACTACTGAACAACTGTTCATTGTTTTTCTCTGCTGTATGATAGCCTCATTTTTTTGTCTGGTAATCCATCTTCAAATGTTCATTTTGCTTCTTCAACTCTAGAGAAAAAAAACAAACAAGTGATATATAAAAACAGGCTTATCTTGGTCTGACAGCTTCGGCCACTATAAGCCTCCAAGCATGGAGAATAAGAAGGGAGGAGCAGATCGCCAAGGATTCTTTCCTGCTTTCTCTCTCTCTCTCTTGGCTGTTTTCAGTTGCCGCCTTGGCCTCGCTGACAGTTGGAATAAAGTCTTAACGCATGAGGCCACAGTTACACTTGTCATTCTATCCTGGTTTCTGGAGATTTTGCCGTAAACATTTGATGTTGTGCAACTTTGGTAATGCATGTTCATGGTAATGCGCGGCCTGTCAATGTGTTCACCCAAGCGCTACTGTAGATGCAAGTCTGGGAAGTCATATAGTCATGCAATCACTTTTTGCTACTGTCACAGCTCAGGTGTTACAGATAAAATGATTAGGTTTCCTTTCCGGTGGTTTTAATCACCTTAATCACCATTAAGCCTTATCATTGTAACAACTACTAATGGGCAATGAGAAAAACCTTTGGTTCCCAATCAATAACAAAAGATGTACTGGAGGTCTAAGTGGTGTTCTGTACAGCGTGGCTCACTCAACTGCGTGGCCAGGCCACTCTGCTTCAGTCCTTGTGTCCACAACCAGGTATCCAGGCTTCAGTTAATTAATACTGCTGTTATCAAAAGCAGTCATCAAAAGACTTCATCAGAATTAAATTCAAAGGAGAACACCATTCTATCCGGTACTTTTTACCATACGGACTCTGAGAGACGAGGTAGTCCAAGTAACTACAAAACAGTGCTGATTTATTCCATGAACACAGGTAAAAATTAACATTACACGCTCAGGCATCTTGCACCTCCAAACTGCACGCAGGCAGATGAAAGATGAAAGACCCAGTGGTGTGTAGCTAAAAACATTCTGACAGGACATTCAGTGACATGTCCTGACATTAGGCATAAGAAGATATTATGATTATGATTAAACACGTCATACAGTAATCAACTCTCTATCTAGTTGTCCTTGACCATAAACAACCTGGAGTAACTCATGAAAATGAGTAAGCATTTAACAGCCTGAACTAGACATCCTGTCTACACTAAAAACATTTCTAATACAACAAGTACCTAACCAATATCTATCTGACTAAAAATACCTAACAACACGCAACAGGACGCGCATTGAAATTGATGCAAAAATTTAAAAATGCACTCTTTATGATTATAGCTTCAAAAAACTTCTTAACCCCGCTTTCTCTGACTTTGTCACTTGCTTCAGGTGCCTGTCCTGTGTTAATGGTAACTTCCCCTGTCACTGGTGCAAATATCGTCATATGTGCACGCAGGACGCCAGCGACTGCTCCTTCCAGGAGGGACGAGTCAACAGCTCAGGGGTGAGATTCTAAGCACACACACACACAAAAACCTACAAATCCCACACAAAGATGCATGAGCACATGTGGTTAAACATGCTCTCACAAGCACTCACACACAAAGAATGTCAATTCAGAAGCACAGCCATACAAAGCAACACATGGAAATGCATGTGCACACGCACACATAAGCATGTATAGTGGTGTAGTAATGCCAAGGGTGCAGCTGGGACCTGTACACCATTTGAGTGTGTGCGAGTGTATGAATGAGTGCTGCTGTGAGTGGCCCAGCAGCAGCTGTTGTACTCCAAGCAGCCCTGGATTTATTCACTTATAAACAAGTCAGGGTGAATGAGTATGCAAATAGCACCACCATCCCAAATGTTATATTTGCATGAAAACCCTCATCCATCCATGAGCTGCTTCACTTTCACAGTCCCTCAGTCTTTATCGAAGTCTCTAGTTCTCACTGTCTCACAGAAATTCTCAATGACAGTCACACATAAACTTCTGTCTCTTTAGAAAGTTGCACTTTACACCCAGCCGCCTTCACTTCGGCTCTGTCTCTATTTTAGGCAATGAGCTGAAAATCACTTTTATGTACGTGCAAGCTGATAAATATTTTCAGCCCCTTTTTCTCCCATTCCTTTCTTATTGCCCCTTTTCTTTTTTCTCCGTTCTTTTCTCTGCTCTCTTATTGTCTCCAAACAGAGGAACCTTCTATGTGTTGCACAGACACAAATACACAGTTTTCATCTTTTTTTTTCTACCTCACCCAGGCCTTTTGCTGCTTCTACTTTTGTTTATTTATTTCTTTTATTCTATCACTCACTCCTTCATTTTTTACCAATAAAACTGAGGTGTTGAAAAGATACAACCAGAAAGGCCATAGTATTAGTATTTAGTATTTTCCTGTATTTACTGCAGTGCTGTATATATGCAATGCTTTACTTAAGACATTGTGATTCCATATGTATGAGTATGTGTCAAATATGCCAAGGGAGTGAAGGATGTGTGTATTATAATGTCTAAGTATACTAATGGGGTTGCAGTTTAGGGTATTTTGTGTGTGTGGGTGGATGGAGAGGAAAACAGGGTGTGCGGGAGGAGGGAGGGGGATAAGACTTGAGTCCACACACCCTCTCATCACATTTCACCCTCCCATAAAGACATTACGCTGACATCCATCCTCATCTTGTTTGGAGAGCCACACCAATTCAGCCTTTTATTTATTCCTTTATTCCTTTTTTTTTTCCATACGATGTTCCCAGTCTTTGTGGCGTAGGCGCTACCATGGTTACCAAGACACTTTAAATATCGGGGCAGGGGGAGAGCTGAATTTTGACAGACACACACAGATGCCAGGGACATCACCACATCCTTACATGGATGATCATTATTAACGTAGCAGACAGAAGAGACAGCTTTTGTTATGGATGCATGTGTTTTGATGCACTTTTATGGTCTCTCTCTGTAATTGAATGGGTAACATTTTGAAGCAATGCTTATACACGCTTGGGCCGACAGCAGCAGTTTTGTCGTCATGCATCTATATCTCCCCTAGCCTTGATTTTGTTCCAATTTGCTAGTTCGTAGCCCCTGCTGAAAGCAATATTGCCCGTCTCTGCTGCCTGGAAAAGTTTCCCCCTGTGTCATTAGCAGTCGGTTGCCAAAGTGATTGAATTCACACTACACTGGTTATCTTCCCAAAGGCATTTGTCATATTTCTTGAGGCTGACTTCACTTTATATCTGATCAAATTCATAGTGTCGGTGAATCTGTTCCACAGGTAAATCATAGAAATGCACCTTTCTTCCATGTGTGTAAACAGATAAACACTAATGTAGAATTCTGCCCCCTTAAAGTGTAAGTATTTGCTGCTACTTCCTGGATATGTAAATATATATATGAATCAGCTGTTGTGTGACAGCAGATAAACAGAAAGGCACATTAGAGGCAACCAGGCAGAAAATTGCCAGAGTCAGTGAAACACTTCAGAAGGCCATCAACAAAAATCTGTATAAACACAAACAATAAGAGAAACAAACACCAAGTCAAACATGAGACAAACATATTCGCTCTGCTCCGGTGAATCCCAGCTTTGGGCTGGTGGAGCAGACTGGGCTGACACCAGGACCCGGGGCTGGTCCAAATGATTTCGTTCAGACCTGAGGACATAGGAAGATTAAGACAATAATAAAAAGCGACAGAAAAAGTGGGTTTGTTTGCATTTATTTTTCTAACAGCTTGACTGCTTATTCATTCACTGATTACAGTTTGTCTGCTTGTTAAGTTGTTCATTCAGTTTGCATAGAGGCTACTTTTACTCTGGATATTTTATGTTCCGCAGATGAATTAATGCAGCATCTGATTGACAGCAGAGACACAAAAATGGCTGCCAAATAACAGCCCCAGATGGAAGCTTTGACAATACGTGGCTTTGTTTCCTACGATACGTGGCTTTGTTTCCTACGAGTGTATAAAATGCTACAACCCTTGCAGCTCTATTCTACAATTTCATCATTAGTTATTACCTGAGCTGGTCGAGATGGAGGATACAATAAATGTCACTGTAATAACTTTCCAGAGTTGTAACCCTTTCTCTTAGTATCTTGAGCCTTCAGACTCACGGATCTTTTCTCAAACTGGCCTTCCTGGATCACATTTAATCATCTCACAGGTACCTGAAGCAACACGTCGCCACCTGCGTGGCCCTTTGCATTTTTTTAATGTCATGGTATTTTCTAGTTGAGGTGTTGATTTGTTTGTTCTATTTATTTTTTTCATGATTTAGAAAAGTGTAGATTCTAGCGAGTATTTATTTTGGTCTGGTATATTCATGAAGACGCTGCCTGAGTGAAGTCATCTGTATCTGTCAGAAGAAGTGCTCATTATGAGCCGGTGCTTGTTCTGCACCAGCCATTCTGAAACAGTTTATTTAACTATCGAGGCGCTGACCTTTTCGATATGTGTAATTGCATCTTGCCAGCTCTGACTGTTCTCAGTGAGATATTTCTTTCTCATTCCTTTTTTAAAAATTCATCCCTCCCCTGTTTTCTCTCTCTTCGTTTTCTTCTCTTTCTTCTTCTTTGTCTTCTCTTGTTCTGTTTTTCTCTTTCTTCCCTACTCCCTCTTTTCCTAATATCGTGACCTCCTTGGAATACAGTGGGTCCATGATGCATTGCTGCAGCACAGGGGATTGAACGATTGGCTTTGTAGCCTAGCCTCATTGATAATCATTAGCAGGCTGTGTTAGCCTCCAGATGTACAGAAGGTGAATATAGATATGTGGATCAGCATTAGGCTCCGCTCTACTAATTAGAGGATGAATCACCATGATGAGTGTGTTGCTTAGATGGTCGTATGTTTCTGTCACGTCACAACAACACAGGCATGCAGGTGCACACATACACCCACAAGCCAACCTTCTTACCACACCATGCAGCTCCTCGACTATGACCATATACTCTGGCTTTCTTTTCTTGATCTCCAAGCCAGTGAGCTCTTTTTTTCTTGTTCAACTATTCCCTCATTCCCTGAATAAGTCACTGAACAGGAGCCAGACACCCTCTCTTTGTGTCTCATGGCAAAGTGTGTCAGAGTTACAGCAGTCTTTCCACTGCGGAGCTCTGACTAAGTTGCCCAGGTCAGAGTCTGTGTAGCTAGACCAGACGCAGAGTAACCTTTCCGTCTCCCTCCGAGTCGTGGGGAGCTGCCTGCTACTGATACAGACTTAGCTGTGTGTGTGCGTGTGTGTGTGTGTGTGTGAATGTGTATTAATTATTCAAAGTGTATTAAAGTGTAAAGATGCATCTCTGATTGTTGGTGTGTTTAATGGAGAGAGACAGATGAGATGAGAAGCGACAGGTGGAGAAACCACAATAAAACATACACTATAAGAGCAGCAGCGTGGCAGTGATTTAGCTGTTAGAAAGGAAGTAAGTTTGCTAAAACAATCAGTGGCTAGAAAAAAATGCCCTCTGCATAAAAATAGCGGTTCATAAAACTGTGAGTACACTTTCTGTCATGCAGCTTTCCTTTTCTAGCCTTTGTACACAAGAGTGTCAGCTCTACAACACATGGTTAATTAAATGCATATCAAATACACTGCTGCGATCTCTGATAATGCCTCTGAAGGTTATGTTACAGTACCCATAAAGTTTTAGTTTAATAAGTAGGCTAGAAAAGTCAGAGGTCATAATAAAATGCCTCTAATTAAGTTTGTGTCAGGAATCTCATTTGAATTGTCTCATTATGTGTGAGAGACTGCAGATTGGACAGTGCATTAGTCCAAATTGCTCAAGGTCAATTTGTCAAAAAGCTTGGTGAAATTAGGATTGATCGGACATGTTGTTTTTAGTTTGCATGCTTAAACATGTTTGGAAAACAGGAAGATACAAAATTGGGACAGAACAATATGGAGATTGGGGAGGGAAGGCATGATATACTGTAGTGTAGGAGGAACTGGATAGCCAAAGGCAGAAGCAGATTAAGAAAATGTGAAGGGAAGTGCAATACGTACACAAGGGGTATAGAAGAAGGCTGATAAAAATAAGAATAAGTAAAGAAGATATTGGTGTTTGGGGACGCATCATTAAGAGGTGACTGATCAGAGGGGGAGAGCAGGTTGATGAAAGGAGGAGTGGGAGGAGGAGCAGGCGGAAGATGTTTAATCATTCAGGAGATGAAAGGATACCTAAGGGTCATGACACCATGACACCATGTGTCTCCTTAAAGCATCTACTCAGTGTTTCTATGTCCTTTATGTAGCTAATTCTGATCTATCCTACCTTCTTCTTTCCAGGATGCTGCTACAAATCATTTAATTGCATTTTATGTTTGCAGAACATACATGGGAAATATTCAAGTGTCACAAATGATTAAGTCACAGAGAATTCTAACTCTCATCATTTAATCATCTTCATTCATTGCCTCATTTCCGGCTTACATTCATATTGTATATAAACAAGAGGGCAGATTTAATAGTTTGGTAAAATAAACTGTTCGTGGTGTGTATATGC